GTAAATCGAAAAAATCCACCTCATCGGGACTCGAACCTGCGACCTTCCGGCTTGTAGCGACATTTGCTTATGTTAGATTTGTTATGGTTATATTTCGGTCTTCTGGGTTGTAATGCCATGTAGTTCGGTGACAACCAGACGTTTCGGAGGAGGATCTTACGTCATCTTCAGAATCGAAGAGTAAGACAAGCAAAGCAGGCGGCAAGCTAAGGTGTCTCCGGACGACACATCATAACTTCACAGGAGACCGTACTTTTCATAGTATTTTTTATTGCTAGTGGGGTGGGACTAAGTCCCTTGTACTGCGGCCACTTCTGGCATATTGTACCAGCCCCAGATGATAGGTGAGGGTGACTGTGGAGCAATTGCTGGAATGAAGATTGCTAAGGGAAACCGAAGTACTCTGAGAAAAACTGCCCCAGCGCCACTTTGTCCACCACAAATCCCACTTGACCAGAACCGGGATCGAACCCGGGCCGTCGCGGTGGGAAGCCAGCGAGTAACCGCTTGAGCTATGGCACGGCCACATTTGCCCTTAGTGCCTTCCGAATATCAGCCAATAGCGTTACCTCTCTGGTGCAGCAACAGGCACCATATTAAGATCGTCGTTGTGTACAGTACGAAGTAGACACGTGTTCATTTGCAAGAAACTTGTGTGCTATATGAAAATTGTTTTCTTAGTCTTGTTTTCGGTCTTCCGTCATTCAGAATTTGCATGATTATCTTGTCTCCGCTGATAAAACAGTAGCCAGCCATCACTCAGCCCAGTTTGTAGCCCAGTAATGTCGACCTCTTTGAGGGAACGTTTCGTCTAGGCCGGCATGCTCTCAATTTCTCCTCAGCTTAACGTGTTTTTATTGCATCACAAAGGCAGAAGCACTGACGAATGTAGCAGTGGCAGTGTAGCACGCCAACAGCACCATCAAAACTGCTCATTTCTGCGTTTCTGCCATATACAGTGATATTGTCATGCATTTGTGGTGCGTGACTATAGACGGGGTTTTAGATTACTGGATTTGTTGACCACTTTCAAGTCGTATTACAAACAACTATAGCTATTTCCAAAATTTACAGTTCACTGTTACACATTCTAGTGTCCTCAGTGTATTACAGTCTTCACTATCCGTTTCCTGCCAATGGATTCTAACACAGGAACTGTAACAGTGTCACTGAATTACACAATCTATAAATATCACTGTTCTACAGCACAAGTAATGTCTTCTTTTCACAACCCGACTGCCGACTGCTCCCTTGCAGAGCCCAACTCTCGACTAACTGCTCACTTGGAACTCCGGAACTCACCTGTCTATTCTCAACTGAACTCTTCTTTATAACCACTTTGCACAGACCGAATACAAAAAAAAAAATCATTCCCGACAAATCCTGTATTGTTGCTTGCGTATTCGTTGCCGCGGAAACCTCTTTATCGAACCGTTACCTAGCAATATACGTCGTTTCTGGTTCTGCTGTTCCAACCTTCAGGCGTCATGTCACAATATTATTTCGGTGAATAAGACAATAATGAAATGAGGATAATGAAGCGATCTCTTCAATTTCGAGTGTGTTTAACGACACTTCCTCAACTGTCTAGGCTGTACAACGCCAAATACAGTAGAAGGATGATCATGAAGCGCACTTGGTACTACCTCAGAAACCAGGGTAACTCCTGGGACAGAAGAATATGGACATGAGTCCCGCCGGCCCCGAGACATAGAACGGCTGTGCTGGCGAAAGCCAACAACAATTTACCAGAAAACGGGGCAGCTCAGTCGGTATAGCGACGGGCTGCGGGCTGGTTTTTTGCACGGGCGAGAGACTCCCCGTCTTCTCGTCAGCTTCCAGGCAGGCTCTGGGGCCCATCCAGCCACCTATACAGAGGGTTTCGGGGGGNCTTTCCCGTGGGGTGAAGCTGCCGGGGCGTGAAGCGGACCATTCACCTCTGTCTAGTGCCGAGGTTAAGAAAATGTGGATCTATACATCCACTCCCCCACTTGTCGTTATGACACAGTGCTTAATTAAGCAAGCAAATGGACGGACAAATTTACTTTTCACTTATCTCAACGTTTAACGAGATAACGCCGAAAGTTTCACCCGGAGTAGCGGAATTATGGGCTCCCAGATATGATGCAGGGGTAGAAACCAGTTCTGCACGGCTCTCGATAAGAAATGAACTGTCCGGGGAGGCGCCAGTTCATGTGAAATGTAACGTTACGGAAGTGCGCCGAGACGGCATTGAAGTGTTTCACTCTGACGGCGTTCTTCGCGCAATGAGGATGACAATGATGATGATTTAATTTCTTTATTCAAGCGCTCGTTAACCGCGAGTAGCCTATAGCAGGCGAGCTCTGAATGTGTACAGAACTGAAGGTAGAGTTAGACTAGACGTAAAGGTAAAGGTAAAGGTGTCCCTGTGCTAAGCACTGCGCCATGAAGGCGTAGGAGGGAGTGGGTGTATAGACCCACATTTTCTTGACCTCAGCAATAGTTGGAGGTGAGTGGTCAGCTTCACGCCCCGGCCGCTTTGCTCCCCGGGGAAAGAGCCCCCGATACCCATTGGTTGGACAGGAGGCTGAGTGGGTCCCAGAGCCGTTCTGGACAACGTGGAGAAGAAAATATTCTTGACCCCACAGGGACTCCAACTCTGGCCCCTCGGTCATCCAGCCAGTAGCCAGTCGCTATACCCACTACGCTATCCCGGAGACGTAGAACTAGACTAAAAATTAAATACTATATAATAAAATAATACAGGTAACACGCTATGACATGATTTCTGTAGGATTAAGCAAAGGAAATTATATCCTCAACGGAGACGGTGTTTGTTTAAAACGTCCAGAGATTTGCAGATGTTGTTTGCAGCTATGACGCACCTTGTTGAGGGGCTACGTAAGTCTTGACGTCATAGGCGGAAGAGTCCCTAGTCTGCATAGTGGGTACACGGAGACCAACAGTATCCATAACAGAACAGCTTTAATTTTGTTCTGGAAAACGTTAATTAGGAATAAAGCAACAAGATTTTGTCGCCTGGAATAAAGCGTTGCAAAATATAAATAATTAATAAATATGTCCAATAATTCAATTCAATTTAATTCAATTCAATTCGTGTTTATTTGTGTGCAAACTTAACAGCACAGTGGCCAATTACAAAGTTAGCACGAGTACATAGAAATACACAAAAATTAAAGAGCAAAATAAAAAATATGACAGTCTATACAATATCAATAAATTAGTAACAATTCCAAGAAAAGAAAAGAAAAAAATAATTTAGCCTTAACAGGCGAGAAAAATAAAATAGTACATTTCGAATGGTTAATCCATTATGTGATGAGAAAGGACAATACACATACATACACACATAGAAGTTAATAATAATAATAATAATAACGAACCAAGGCGTACAAACAGACAGAGAGGTTCTGGCAAACAGGCCAGACATAATAATTAACCCTTCCGCACCGACATCCGTGTGCTTCACCGACCCTTTAAATAATCGTATGCCACCGACATCTGTGCANTTGACCGTGTCTCACGGTGTTGTCGCTTGCAGATTTACTTATACTTTTTCTTCAACCCTGAAGATGGGGGCGATACGTTCCTCCGAAACGTCGGTTAACACCACATATACACGGTGCCAAATCCCAGAAGACTGCTTTCTTCATAGTCACCGCCGTGAAAGCCTCAAATCTTACAATATACACTTAGTTCAAATAACATGAGGTTTCAAAACGACCGCTGTGAGAACCTCAAAACCGACGCGTGTTTTTTGTGTTAAAGGGTTGTGAACACTTCGGTTCCAGAGAAATAAATGTACAGAATGGATTTGTAAACTGGACCTACCCACGAACGGTGGGTTGATTTCCTTGCGTTGTCACGATTCAACCTGCTGATTGGTTGCTGTGTCATTACGTGGTACGGAATGTTCGAGGTGGGTCCAGTCAGTATGCATGGCCGCACCTTGTGTATGTAATGGAAGGAGAGACCTTGAATGAGCACCTCTTATGCAGTGGGATGTTGCCCAGACGTACATAGGTTGAATGGAAGCGTATTTATTTTTCATGGGGGATGACTTCGCTGCCTTAAAGGCCAGTTTACATAACTCGGAGATGTATAACTTGGCACAGCCTGGGCCGACCGGAAATATAGTGACAGGATCTGACGTTTTTCAAGAGGGGGTCGGTATAACGCAGTCAGCAGAGCAACGGCCTACAGGCTGAACAGCCGGGGTTAGATTCCCGGCAGGGGCAGACCGGCTGTGGGCCCACCCAGCCCCCTATCCAAAGGCAATCTGTGGCTCTTTTCTCGGGAGTAAAGCGGCCGGGGCGTGAAGCTGACCACGTCCATCTAGTGCCGAGGTCAAGAATCGCGGACCTATACCTCCACTCCCTCTGACGCTTAATTAATTGGGCACAGGGACAACTTTATTTTACAGCAAGAAAAAGTACAGCCCGTATCTGACAGCTGAAACACGATTTGATGCTCTCAGCGGTGGTTACGAAGAGTTCTACCTTCTGGTAGATACGTAACTCGGTGTAGGCTGGTGAAAGTCAGCCGACGTTTCGCCGGAAAACGTCGCCACCATCTACAGGCCTGACGAGTAAGCCGAACAAAAAACCAGCATGAAGCAGGCAGCAAGGAGAGCTTCCCTGCGGATGGAGAGGATATGTTCCACCGAAAAGTTGGTAGACTTTCATCGCACTTCTCGGCGTTATATCCCAGAAGATGGATTCAGTATGTGGGGGTTCAACTCCCGGTAGGGGCAAGAGATTTCTCTTTTCTCCACTGCGTCCGCACTGGATGTGAGGCGCACTCAGCCTCCTATCCAATGTGTACCGAGGGGTCTTTCCCTGGGGATAAAGCGACAGGGGCGTGAGGCTGAGCACTCACCTCTACCTGGTTCCCCCATACGGCTCCATGGTGTGGTGCGTAATTAAATGAGCACAGATACGTTACCTTATACCTGTATGCAGAGGAATTATAAGACCTTTCTCTTTTCCACCCCACAGAATTTGGCACGCGTATAATCTCAAACCCGATTTGGCAGTGTACTTCCAGACGCCATGCAGCGCCGCCGAGAAGTCACGTTGTGGGCGTGCTGGCCGTGAAAGTGACTGTAAGTAGTAAACATTACGTCATGCTTGATGGTTCTAAATCTCGCTTCGCTATGCAGGGTTACGTGGCATTTGCTTTAGCTGGCCTGCAGAAATGGACTTGACAACGTGCTACAGACGCTCTTCTTACTGAAAGAAAACCAGAACTGAAAGCTTCAGCGCCAATTCCCCGCCATAATACGTCAAGTTTAAAGAACGGCAGTGTCATAACAAAACCCGTCAGATCGAACTTTCCTATTGGCCGGAAGGGCGGGGTGGTGAAGGGTTACAGAGAGAAGCGTTGAATAGGCATTTAACATCCGGTGTCCTAAAAGTTGTAGGGTCACGATTCGGATATCTATCGGTCAGCACTGGGAAAGAATACAGCCCTTCCCTGAGTGAACCCATAGCTAGCAAAATACCGTCATCTCCTGCCATCTCTCGGTCACATTTTTATTCCGTAGGCAGAGCCAGCTTCTGTGAACTACGAAGCGATATGAAGCTAATATGGATTGCGCGGTTTCATTGTGCGTAAGGAGGTAAAGTTGTCTCTGTGCTTACTTAATTAAGCAGCACCCTATGAAGACGTATGGATATACTTCTGCCATTCTTGACCTCTGCACTAGATGGAGGTGAGTGGTCAGTTTTACGCCCCGGCCACTTTAACTCCGAGAAAAGAGGTGCCGGTACTTAACTGGATATGAGGCCGGTTGGGCCTGTCTGTACCTGTGGAGTTGAGCTATCTCTTGCCACTGGCGGGAATCGAACTCCGGACATCCAGCCCGTATCCCATCGCAATACCGACTGAGCTATATTGTATGGCTGCTGTATGTAGTGGGCGAAGTGGGCAGCCGCCCAGGGGCCCCGCCGGGCGACCGTCGGTACTATGTACTTAAATTTTCCCACGCATTTCAGAATAGTCCGTGGCCTGTAGTTCGCAAGCGAATTATACCGACTGAGCGACCGCCGCTCGTCGGCGAAGTTAGTGCCAACTTTGCAGTTCAGAATATCTGAAGAATACATATTTGAGGACCTCATAGCCTGTGTTATTATTATTATTATTATTATTATTATTATTATGTTGTTTGTAGGGACGTTGACGTCTTTGGACCAAAAACTCTGTTGATGAAACATATCTNAAAGCAGTCTTCTGGGATTTGGCACCGTGTATATGTGGTGTTAACCGACGTTTCGGAGGAACGTATCGCCTCCATCTTCAGGGTAGAAGAAAAAGTATAAGAAATCTGCAAGCGACAAGACCGTGAGAACGGTAAAAGCAGACTGGCTTCTACCCTGAAGATGGAGGCGATACGTTCCTCCGAAACGTCGGTTAACACCACATATACACGGTGCCAAATCCCAGAAGACTGCTTTTATCATTTTTTTATTTTATTTTTTAAATTATGTTTGTGTATTTCTATATTCGTGCTAGCTTTGTAATTGGCCTCTGTGCTGTTAAGTTTGCACGTAAACAAACACGAATTGAATTGAATTGAATTGAATAATTGGCACTACAACCCTTTGTGGTCTTGACCCGCTCTAAAAGCTTTCTCCAGCCACCCCCCGCTTGAACCTTTGTTTCCAGTTAACCACACCCAAGTTCCTTAAATTCTTCTCCACACCCTCTATCCATCCATCTCACTCTTCGTCTACCTTCCTTCCTTTTCCCTTCCGGTTTCACAATCATTAGTCTTTTTATAACTTCTTTTCTCTCCCTATAACATGTCCTGCCCATCTGAATCTATTTATTGTAAACCTTTTAATTATATAAACTTCATTAATTAGACAATATAAATCCTGATTGTAACGTCTTCGCCAGAGCTCATCAATTTGTACTGCTCCATGGATTGTCCTTAGAACCTTTCTCTCGCAACCTGCAAGCAGTGCTTCAGGAGCCTTGCTCAAGCCCAGCTCTCGGCTCCATACAGCAGCGCTGTTGCAAGTATAAATATTTTTATACAGTTGCCATTTAGTTTTCCTCTTTGGCAGTTGAGATTTCATGAGTGTCTATGCACCGCAAGAGCAACTATTTCCTTTTGTAATTCTGCGTTTAATTTTTTCTTCCAAATAATTTTTACAGTCTAGACCCCAGATATATAAATTCTGTCACAACTTCAAAATTATATGAATCAATAACGAAACTTTGGTTATACGTCAAGTCAGAATAGCCAGGATCATTTTGTGCCATAAATTTAGTTTTTGTTCTCATTTACTGTTAGTCGCATTTCCTTAGCAGCTTTCTCCATGCTACTGAAAAGGTAAAGTCATCTCTGTAACAGGCCGTGGAGGGCCGTAGGGTTGTGAGAGGTTGAGGCTTACAGATGGCGGTAATGTTGTCAGCCTTACGCTCCGACCGCCCTTTACTTCTTTAACTGCTGCTAATGAGCGTCCAGTTATAACTATATCATCTGCATAAGCCAATATTTGCACCTCAATATCCACCCCGGCATCTCTTATTACTTTTTCTAAACTTTTATTGAGTAGAATGCATGCCAGTGTGTCGCCTTGTCTAACCCCCTTTTTAATATCAAGCTATCTGGAAAATATTAACTTAACCATGGCACAATTACTTTTTATAGTAAGTGTAAAATAACAGTTATACTTACTTTTAGGTTATGTTGTTAATCATTTGTATCGGTTTCTCCTTCGTTAATATAAATACGTTTTGAAGTCGTATCAAATTATAAGATCTCTTTTATTTTGAGAGGAAACAAAGAGACGGATCGAGGCCATGCAGAACATTGCCTTGACTACGTAACTTATGTTCTAGAGGGTGTGACCGTGCATAAGTGAATCAAAGCACAGTCCTTCATTGCATTCTTAATTAAATATAGGCATGAACTTGAGTGCCGCGATGTGAGAACCTCATCTGGCATTGCTGATGCCGGTAAACCTGGCGCTGAAAGTTTTAACTCTCGCAATTAATCTCAATAGGCCGAATGTTTAAAAGCTCAGTCGGTATAGTAGCTCCACCGTATCCCTGCGAGTCGGAGGAGGTGACGAAAAGGGGACCCAGTGCCTGGGAGTATAACTAGGCCGCCCTGTTCCTACGGGTAAGTACGGGGACCTGGCCTTCCAGGTAAGGTGAGTCTCGACTCTGAGACAATAAAATATGGTCATGAGTCCCGGAGACACGGACCTGAGAATGACTGCTCTGGCGAGGGCCAGCAACAATTGTAATCGACAGACCCATCCTCTAGTCGGAGAGGGTGTTACATGAAGACTATGACCGCAAGCATTCAGTTGAAAAAAATACTGGTCGTGAGTCTCAAGGGGCTTTTCGTCGAGACGAAGAGATTGACGGTAAACCTCCAGTCGTAAAGTAACTCTGGCTCCGACTCTGACTACAGTGACTGGGCTGGACGACCAAATTGGGGTTCGATTCCCGGGAGGGGCGATAGGCTCCTCTATTCTCCAAGTCCAAGACCGGCTCTGGTGACCTGCCAGCCTCCTGTCTAGTGCTTACCAGGGACACTTTCCCTGAAGGTAAAAAATAAAGAAATAAAAATTGGCATGTGCAGCCAACTATTTGTCACCATCTAGTGCTCAGGTAAAGAATACGTGGCGCTCTACCTCCACTCCACCCAGCATCATCGTGGCGTGATTTTGAAATTAAGCACAGAGAGCAACTTCTCATTTTCCATAATTTGGGTCTCACCTCATGGAAAACGTGCTGCGCCTCATGAGACTTGAGGTTCTCACAGAAATGAATGTCTTGTAGAATGTGATTCCGACGTTTTGGAGCAACCTTCTTATCCGTTATCATCCTACGGGACCGTAATCTTGATATTGCGTCTCAATTACAAAGACCAGTGGGTTGATGCCGTGTAGGGAATTAGTTGCAGTTTAGGATTTGAGGTTTTCACAGCCGTAGTTATGAAGAGTTCTATCTTGTGGGATACAACGCCGTGTAGTCCTTTGATAGTCAACAGACGTTTCGGAAGAACATGTCGCCTCCATTATCAGGGTCGAAGAATAAGTGAAGGAAGAAACCAGCATGAAGTATGTAGTAAGGAGAGATTTGATTTTGCTTGGTTTGTGTTTCAACCCTGAAGATGGAGACGATATGTTCCTCCTAAGCGTCCGTGACTCTGAAGGACTGTACGGCTTTATATCCCAGAAGAAAGCAGTCTTCACAACGTCCGTCAGGAGAATCTGTTTCATGCTGAGTTCTTCCTTGGCTTATGCTTCAACCCTGAAGATGGAGGCTACGTGCTCCTGCGAAATATTGGCGACTTTGAACGGACCACACGGCGGTATATCTCAGAAGATATAAGCGTTGTCAGTTGCTGTTTATTCAGAGAATCATAAATACACTTCGTGGAAAGAATGCCGCGCTTGTTTAATGCAGTAGCAGAACTTCTGGGATTTGAAGGGTTATTGAACAGGATCCAGAGCATTGGCCTCAGAGAGCAAGAAGTGGTAGCCGTGTGTCCGGGTACCGTGACTGACCAGTGTTACCGGGGACCCCAGAAGGTGAGCGGGTGGTTTCTTTCTTAAATAGTCCATCTGCCTATAGAACACTGGCTCGTAACGTAAAGTCTTTGTTAGGTGTCAGTACATCCAACTGAGATATAACACGTTTCCGATATGGTACATATTATAAGCATATGTAAGGAGCCGGGATAGCGTAGTCAGTATAGCGACTTGTTACTGGCTGGACGACCGCGGGGATCGGAGTTCGAGTCCAGGTAGGGTCAAGAATTTTCACTTCTCCATGTCGTCTAGCCCGGCTCTGGAGTCCGACGAACCTCCTATCCGATGGGTTCCGGGGGTTCTTTCCCCGGGGATAAAGCTGCAGGGCGTGAAGCTGACCACCTCCAGCTAGTACCGAGGTCAAGAAAAATGTGGATTATACATCCACTCCCCCATACGCCTCCTTGGCGTAGTGCTTAATTAGTCGAGTAAATGGACAACTTTACCTGTATAAGCAGATGTAAGGAGGAATTATAAAAACCAGATAATGCAAGGGAAAAGTCTGTGGGTGCGGACCATGTCGGGAGTGACTCAGTCACTCTCTCAC